TTCTAAACAGTAAACATGCTCTAAATATATGATACATACATAAATATTATACAATATCAAATATTAAATTTTTAACTTACAACATGCAACAAAAGATTCTTCTTCTTGTCTTTATTCTATAATACGATTTTCTTCTATAAATGGCAATGCATTTGGCCTCAGTCGAATTAATCGTGGATTTGTTTTATCAAAAGATTCTTTTTTAAAATGAACAGAACAAATGGATGCTTTGGATGGAATAGATATTTGTTCAAGACCCAAGATATCGACCCATAAATTGTGAGTAGTGCCATTTTTTGGAAATCTAAAAACAAAAATGTACATTATTCAAAGAACTATTATACAAAATAGATTAATATTAAAGTTCTTTAAACTTTCAATTAATATAAAATTAACTTAACCTATGTAACTTTCAGTTAATATGTAATTTTATCTTACCTATAAAATGTAACCTTGTGAAAATTCTATTGTTTCTTCCAATTTTGGCTGTGTTCGATTTTTACATTTTGGCACATACATAACACTACCATTTTTAATAATTTGGATATTATTTTTATCTATTGTTATGACACCGACACGAGAAATAATATCATTGCGCTTGCGTAAACCAACAACCAATCAAATTCAGGCGGACATTTACCTCGTCGCACCATCCCGCAGTGGCTTCTCCCCCGCAACTCTATGCTCTGTCCCCTTATATTCTTATGTCCATAATCACGCGTCACGTTATCCAAATTGGCCAATCAAAATATCTCATTTTATTACGTAAATTGCCGCGTGATCCGGGATTTCATATAAAAAAAGATTTTTATCCCTAGAATGTCGAGTAACATAAACGATGCATCGCGCAAGGAGTCACGCAGCAAATGATGCAATAAAATGGGATATTTTGGTTAATTAATTTGTGACGCGACGAATGACGCGAGCGTCACGAATTAATTAACCAAAATATCCTATTTTATTGTATCGTTTGCCGCGCGACTTCTTGCACGACGCATCGATTAGGTTACTCGACATTCTATAATTTTAGAGATAAAAGAAACTTCCTTCAAGCCGGTTTTAAATTAGTTGCAAGCCGATCGCAAGCTGCGACAGCCAATCTGAAGCTTGCATTTTGAAATCAATGCTTCGGATTGGCTATCGCAACAAACTTGCGATCGGCTTACAACTAATGTAGAACCGGCTTTAAATGCAACCTCGGATCGCGCGGCAAATTATGCAATAAAATGGGATGTTTTGATTGGTCAATTCGGATGACGCGACGCGTGACGCGCTCAATGGGAACGCACCCTTATTGTAGAAAAGGATCATTTATTCATACCATGTCTCGTGTTTCAGTATATAAACTCTTTGGTTTCAGACTAGCCGAGTAGCCGATTATTTTGATACTATTTTTATTACGTCTGTGGTGGATGGTTGTGCACATTTTGCTTCTCTGTGTTATATTAGAGTAAATAATTCGTGGTATCAGTTTCTTGTAAAAATATGAAGCTTCTGACGCACAATATGTTAACATCTAAAGCTATAAGAGGCGTGACATTGGGCTATCCTTTGAAAATTATCGTAAGTTTCCAAAATAAGGTTTATTATTTTATTAAAGTTCGTTTAACTCTCGTTGCTAAATTGATTGTCTCGTGGAAAACTCAAAGAAAATGATAACTCATTGCCTAAACAGATCGTACTCTATAAAAAATACAACATATTGCAACTTAGAAACATTTCAATCTATTTAATTTAGTTAGATTCTATGTAGTTTTCGTTTATTTTAAAGAGTATAAATGTTTGTTAATTTTGATAAAAATCATTTGATAAGGATCATAAAAAAAGTTAAAATATTTCAAAGTTAAGTTAATTTTTTTTACTTTGTATAAATTTATAGCATTGGTCGTAAAGCACCCTCAATTTATTGCATTTTCTTGGAAAAGATTGTAATAAAAGCGAAAGAAGGATTAGCAAAATATTAAAATTAATCATTCGTTCATTATTAAAAAATAATAATGTATTAAATAGGCCAAAAAGGAGTAATAATAGGTTAACTTTATTTCCTCATTATTAATAATGTAGCGAACTAGTTTCAACTATTCCTGGATCTTTCTCAATTGCAAACTTAATAATTAAAATTACTTTCTAATTACTTTCTATGTACAGTATTTACATTAATAATAAATAAATATAATTAATAATGTCAGTCATTTTAGACAAAAAAATTCTTTTTAATGGAAAATCAATTAAACAATTACACAAAAAACACAATAAACTGCAGTTAAGAATCATATAATAATATTGTTAAATTAAGATTAATGTAATTTAATAGATAGTCATCAAGTTAAAATGGTCAATCCTCGTGGTATGTTATTTTTAAAAAAATTTATGCAAGCGTGCTATAACATTTCAAAGTCGTTTGATTTGTTTAACTAATGTAGTGTCATTCAGTTAAATTTACTATATCGATAGATTTATCAATAGTCCGTGCTTTTGTATAGCACTCTGTAATATAATAAAATTTCTTAATTCCATTGCATATTATTGTGAAAATAACAAGATTTAAAAGATATATATCAATGATATATATTGGTTATATATTGCTGATATATGTATATATATAATATTTGTGCATTGATTTCACAATATATATATATATATATATATATATATATATATATATATATATATTAGTTTTACAAAACTAACAATTTAAATTGAATAATTACAACACTTCGTATTATTGAATTTTTTTCTTAACTGATTAAGGAAAGATCCTCAACTCAGAGGTATAAAAAATTTGTGAACATAAAAACTGTATCTAGAGTATAGTCTAAGATACACAAAACTTAACAATAAGAAGATCTAAAAAGCAAAATGAAAAATTAAAACATTTGCAATGTATATTTTACATGACCTTGATACGACGGTGTAGGAGGCTTAAGCCTGTAGACAATTAATAGTGAACATTTATTTGTTATGGGCATCTATATGTCAGGTAATAAAAAATTAATTTTTTCTATTATGAACAGGATTCATTTTGATTTTGAGAACGATGTATGTTGTCTAAAATGATGTTAATTAATATGATGACTGACAATGAGCGAAAATATTTTATTAATTCACTTATAGTCATGAAAACTTATGAGTTATGAAAATGACTTACGATAATAGAGTCTAGACTAAAATTAATTGGCTTTATGAATTGAGTTTTTTTTCACCTAATTTTTGACATTCCTAATAATCATACAATACAAAAAATTGTTTTTTGAAAATCCTGTAGAGGCCAAAAAACGTCCTTGTTGATTTTTTTCCTTTGAAGAGTTTCATAATCACTAAAAGAATAATTTAGATAAATTAAACAAGAATTTTTAAAAATATTTTTGTTTATATGTTTATTTGTATCTGTGTTTTATATACTTATCTTTTTCTATATTTATTTTCTGTATTTATATATATTAATATACATATTTATTTATTCATGTATATTTATACAGGTTTATATGAGTTTACATAGATAAAGTTAATATATTATAAGATATTGATATAAAAAAACATTGAAAGTATTGTATAAGAATATATTCGTCCTGTTTTTATTTATATACATTTATTAATAATTCTTTAAACAATTGACAAGTATTCTAAAGTATTCTAAAGTATTAATAAAAAATCTTATTAAAAAAAACTCATTTTTTTCTATAAAATATTGTTCTATTTCTTGTTGTTGATGAATAATGAAACAAAAAAATGAATTAGTTTTTAGAAGTTTTACTTCTTGAGAGTAAATAAAAAAAAATATTTTATTATATCCTCTATTGTCAAAATTTTATAATTTTTTGAATTTTCGAGTTGGTTTATATAATCCTCCCCTTGTGAATTTGGACGATTTTTATTTTTGTTATTTGTGAATCTTATTATTATCCATTATTTTATCGGATTTATATTACTTGATGAGATTATATTACGTATAATTTTTTCAAATAACGGCTTAAAATTGCTAGAGAGAAAAACTATTAAACTCATCAACGATTTGTTATTATCCAATTAGATAATAACTTCATTTTTTTATCTTACATTGTGTATTATTTTATCAGCTCGTCCTATATTGTTGTATTTATTTTTTTACAGAAAATATGTTCAATGAAAGATTTTTAATTTTTTAAAAAACAATAAAAACTTTGACACATAATTTTAAGTTTACTTTTTTAAGACAGAAACATTTTATAAATATCTATCTATGGATATACATGAAAGGGGAGGCATTTAAAGTGTTACAAGCTTATTATCTGTAAAGTATGCGTTGTAGCAAAAATATTATAAACAAAAGTTGTATAATTTGAAGGACAAATTTTTTGAAAAAAATCATATTTCAAGATCACATGGAGATCACCACTATAATTTTTTAATGGAATTATACGATTTTTTTTACATAATATGATTTTTCTAGTTATTCTGCATATAAAAATATTAAGATAAAGATATAAAAAAATCAATAGTTTGAGATATTTTATACTTTATTCTGATATTAAACATAAAATATCTCACGAATTGCGGCCGAGATCTAATTGTAAGAAATTAATGCATCCTCTCGTTGTTTCGGTTATTTTCTCGATTTATTGTAAATTACAAACGTTTATATAAGCTATTAAATATATTCAGTATGTTTGTAATTTATTCTAAAAAATGCTGCTAATGTAAGTCATTCACATAATGAAATTAAACAGATAGTTTAACTTCCTGCAAGTCCTATATTTTTTAAAATATTCTAAATCCTGCATAACCATGTCAGCAACAATGGGAAATAGAGAATCCATAGAACTGTTAAATATTTATTCATTAAGTATTTTGTTAAAAATAAAATGGAGATTAATATAAATTTTATAGTTGAGATAAATTTATTTTTCGCTATTCGTAGTTTTGTTTATAAGTGACTATCCGTTGCCGACACTGATCAACGTTAAATCGAGAAAGATATTCATGACAAACTACATTTAATAAAATCAATACATTTGAATCAGCTATTTTCTTTTCTGTAGAGAATGTGTATAATTTGAAGCAATTTTTCACACAAATGTCGACGTGTGGATATTTACTTTCTAAAATATTTTTGCGTAAATATGAGGTTATTGAATATATTCTTGTATTAATGCGCAAAAAACATTAATTGTAAAAAGTATATACTTTTGTATTTTGAGAAGTCTGTAACCTTTAGATAACAGTTGTTGGAACGTAATGAATAATATTTTTGTTTTAAAATGTATAGTTGTGTTCAAGCTATCTTTTAAGAATGTTGTTGAAATTCGATTTTAAATCCTTTATAAAGTGTTTCTTAATATGGCATATTTTTGTAAATCGTTAATTTTATATAAATCCTTATCTAGAGCGACCATCATATTTCTCTTGTTTGCGTGAATAAAAATAATGTTAAAACTATTTTTACAAAAAAATAGTGTCGATCTGTACATGGCAATAAGTTTCTTTTCTCTTTTTTTTTTGAAGTTCATAAAAATTTGTTCTTTTTTTTATTTATAAAAATTTTTGCAGGCCCGAGACATCAGAGTATCTGAAGTAGATTTTAATCCAGAATATATTGCTAAGATAATTCCAAAATTGGACTGGGCAGTGTTGTGGAAAGCTGCCGAAAGCGTAAGATCACCTCATATATATATATATATATATATACACAGGGTGGACCATTTT